TATTGGGCTTGAATTTATGGCTTTGTAGCAGTTTTGCTCTCCTGAATGGCTGGCAGCTGTCATTCATTCATTTAAACAGAATGGAATTTTTGTGCGATAAACAGGACAAGCTGACCTAAATGAAGTGCAGGGCATCTCGTCCTTCAGTGAACTATCTCGATGTGAAAACTATATCGGTACTACAATATTTGTTCTTCTGCGAACGATCTCTATACTAGAACACATCCAAGTGTTTTCGATTCGAACTACAGCCGCATGCATAGTCCAATTGCTATCCTCCATTTTATTTGGTTTCTGTTAGAACTCGTGTTTTCTTTTGTGGGGTTTTGCTCTATTATTCCCGTTAGCGCATTCTTTACCCACTTTTGCGAAAACGCTATAAGATCATATTAATTTCCCTAGGAAAATGCTTTATCGCCACGTGTCAGCCTGGTTTAAATGAACATATATAAAGAATGAAAATTTTTTTCTTTCGTCCACTCGTAACACGCAATGGGCACGGGCATGATTTGAAGGGGAGCAGTATATAGATTTCAAAAAAAATTCCCAGTAGCGGTCCATGGCAGGATGAATCAAGAATGTTGAATGTTTCATTACCGCCACCAGTCTGGTATATTTTCCTGATACGAATACCTACCTATTCAATCTGTAATAAAATTAATGCCTCCTCACTGGTAATTCAACTGTGCTTTCTATTCAAAAAATATTAGACATTAAAATTATCCAAGTCTTCTTCTTCCATCCCAAATCACGCGGGCTTTAAAAACATTAACCTTCAAACAATAACACCAAGAATACCAAATTTTTTGTTGTTTGGTTTTATTTCTTTTAGTAATTAATTCTTTATTTTATTAAGTCTTATGTCTCTGATGATGGTGTTGCTTCCAATTACACATATGTGAGCAAATTGCTTCGCGATTAAATTTGCAATTTTGGCGAATTGAAATTTGCTTAAAATTTTTATTGGCTGAACAAAGTGTTATGGCTAAACAATTAAGTGGCGAACGTGGCAACCACTCGCATGGCCAATAACTAAAAAAGTAACCCTGAAAACAATGTGCGTTCAAGTTGCAGCAGCAAACACAACATGACTTGAACCTCAAGCGAAAACACTTTCGCTATACGCGTTGTACCTCACTTCACGTAATGATTTCGTAGTAAATTGAAAAAAAAAAACATCAAAAACAAAGACAACAACAAAAACAAGATTGAATTGCCAAAGAAAAAAAAAGAGAAGCTTTTGGGCGAATGTCAACAGAAATATTCGTTAGAAAATTGTGCAATAA